GGGCCCGATGACGAACGATTTTTTTGCCGGAGTTCGTGAAGGCGACAGCGATTTTCCCGAATCAGGATGTGAAATGCAAAGTCGCGCGCCAGCGTGCCGTGGACTGGGCCGCGAGCGAGGGGGGGCAAATTTCGTGGGTGTACGCGAGAGACGTGGCGCGTCATGGAGCCCTCCAAAGACGGCCGTACACGTCTGCGGACAAGGTTCGGTGGCTGGGATACCATGATAAAAAATGCGCAGATGTGCCTGGGTGGCTGCCGCTGGCGGCGGGCATGCCCGTGGTTTTGACAGATCATTTGGATCGGGGTGAGAAACAGCTGCTCCGCGGGTGCCACGCGACGATTCACTCGTGGGTTGTCGACGAGGACGAGGGTGCCGTCGCGGACGCGGCAGAAGTCACGCTTCGAAGGATGCCGAGGCAGATCGTGCTCGACTTTCATACGGACGCGTGGACGCTGAAGAGCATGCCGGGGCCGGGCCTGTATCCCATCGTACCGAAACAACGGGTCTGGTTCTTGGACGCGTACCGTAAGAAGCCTGTGTTAGGTGTTCGGCGGAAGCAGTTTCTGAGATCGCCGGGCCTGGCAAGCACGGCGCACGCGGCGCAGGGCCGATCCCTAGACGCTGTCATAGCAGATTTGCAGGAGGGTCGAAATGTGAGTTGGATGGCGAGTTACGCGGCAATCACCCGCGTGAAGACTCGTGGAGGTTTGCTGATATATCGCCCGTTTGAGATGAAGCCGCATACGCAAGGAGAGATGGAAGGGGCGAAACATCTGCTGGGCAAGTTACGCGGGGAGGAGGTGCCGTGGGCGGAAATAGAAGCGAAGCTGATGCCCCGTAAGATGTGCAGTAGACGTAGCACCTTGAAGGAGAAAGCGGGTTTCACGCTGACAGAGTTCAGGGAAAAGGACGGGCCGTATTTTCGTCGCGAGTGCGCGGATGAGTTGAAGGAAGCGGGCGAAAAGTGCGCACCGAATGCAAGACGTGGGCCGCGTTGGGGCCGAGTGCGCCAGAGGGCGAGGCTCGCGGAAGGCGAGTGTACGTAAGGACGAGCAAGTGCGAAAGATGCGCGGGGCCCGCGACGGCGCGGAAGTCACGGAAGGAGTCGGCGGCGTGGCAGGAGAAGGTTCAGGAGAAATTCAAGATTCGGTGCGCGAAGTGCAAGAATTTCTTGAAGACGGAGGCGGAAGTGGCGGCGAACCAGTACGACTCGAAACATGCGGGGGAGAGGTTTTGCAGGGCGTGCGCCCGCAACAAGAAGGGTGGGCGGAACGAGAATCGCAAGCGGAAAGCAGAGGCGGACGCGAAGCCGCTGACGTGCGCGGCGTGCAAAGGCGCGTTCTCGGACACGAAACATTTGAAGCAGAAGCAAGTGGAAGATCATCGAGCGGCGAAAGGAGCTAAAGTGGCGTGCAGAAGCTGCGAGGAACTCGGGTTCACAGCGCGCAGTTGCCAGGCTTATCAGCGCAGCGGCGCGCGCAAGAGAGGGCTACCAAAGTCGGCGTTCCCCGACCCGCACAATGTCCCGCGCGACGCAAAGTAGGGCACCCTGAAGTGCAAGACATGCAAATGATGCCCAATCGGTTGTGCGTGCTTGGCAGAAAAGGGAGGGCGGGAAGAGGAGGATGGGGGGTGAGGCGGAAAATGGGGGGGGAGAAGCATCGGTGAGGATGAGCTGAAGCGGGGCAGGAAGAGGAGGAGGAGGGGGACGAGGAGGAAGTGTAGGAGGAGGAGGAAGAGGAGGAGGAGGAGGGGGACACGGAGATGAGGCTCCGGGTTATGGGGCTGGGCGCGACTCGAAAAACCGGTGTGTTCGGATATGTCCGTTGGGATCTTGCGGGGGGGGTTCTTGCGGGGCTCTTTGAGCAGTGTCGAAGGCTCTTGGGACCGTTTTGGGGCCTCTTTGTGGCTTCTTGGGCGCCTCTTGGAACGTCTTGGGGGCCTCTTGGGGGGTTCTTGGGGCCTCTTTGGGGCCTCTTGGGGCCTCCTGGGGGCCTCTTGGGGCGTACGGCTGGGTTTTCCGGTGCGTGGTCTCTCTTTGGAGCCCCTCTTGGGCCCGTCTCTGGGAGGTTCTTGGGCCGTCTTGGGCGGCTCTTGGGCCGTCTGGGGGCTCTCTTGGGCCGCCTTGGGCGGCTCTTGGGCCGTCTGGGGGCTCTCGTGGGCCGTTTTGGGGGCGTCGTGGAGGCCTCTTGTGCCGTCTTGGAGCAGTCTTGGGAGCTTCTTGGGCTGTCTTGGAGCGTCGGAAGGCCGAAAAGGCGAGCATGACGAAAACATAAAAAATAATGAAAATCAGCGATTTTGGCGTCTTGGGGCGCTCCGCGCGGGCCTCTTGGAGGTCTCTTGGGGCGTCTTGGAGGTCTCTTCGGGCGTCTTGGAGCCCTCGTGGGGCGTCTTGGAAGCCTCTTGGGGCCTCGCGGGCGCTTCTTAGGGCGTCTAGGCGGTTTCTTGGGGCGTCTGGGGGCCTCTTAGAACGTCTGGGAGGCCTCTTGGGGCCTTCTTGGCCCGTATTTGGGCCCTTCAGGGCCCGGAAGAGCGTCGTGAGTCGCTCGTCGTGGGCCCCCCCCCCCCTCCAAATCGACCGGACCGGGTTCCCGGGGGAGGGGTTTGGGGAGGGGGAAGCATCTCACACGCCCATGACCCAAGGGGTCGGCGGATT